GCGCGCAATTTGGGCTCGTGCGTCGTCCAGCTGAAAAAAGCAGTTCATGGCGACCCAATTGACGGGATGCACCTATCAAAAATCATGAATTACTGACCAATTCTAGCTCAGCAAGACTCGAACGAGCAGCAACGTAGTTCAAGATTGCTGGCTCGGTATCACTAATTGCATCGATAAAGGAGGGATTTAACTCTGACAGATATGGTCGCAGTTGAGTTCCAGCTTTTTTTGCTAGTTCAAGAAGCAGGGAAATACTGCAACATAGTAAAAGTAAGCCACCGATCAGTTTCGAATTTCATCAGTTACCTAAACTGCTTGTTGATTTTTGTATCCGAATGAATACCATTCCAAATAAGTACTGGAAGAAAGGTATCAAGAAATGCGTGAAGATCATGACCTTTAGAGGTCTCAGAAGACAGTCGGACAACCAACTTCGCAAGACTTGCGCACGATTAGCGGATTGGCGAACAGATTCCTGCAAACCGCAGTTTACTCACGTTTTTAAAAAGAAAACTTCCCTTAACTTTATGTCATCGCGAAGGCGAAAAACAGTCAAAACTAACTCAGCAACATTGGATTGAATGTAAGGTGTATCATTGCTTTGAAACAGATCAGAGAGAGCAAGACATCTGCATAATTTAGAAAATACGAAAGATGCACAGAAAAGGACGAAAAAATGTTGCTACTTACGAGGATTCTCTCACACGCCATTCTGCAGTCGTGAGCTGTTTCTGCAGTTCTTTTACTATTTCATCGGCAAACTCATCGACCTGAAAACACGACAATCTCGATAAAGCGATGTATATATACAATCTTGTATCCTCATATGAATTTGCTACTTACAACTCCTCGCCTGGATGATGTGAGAACAGACCATATCGAACGTATAGATTGCCTGACTCTGAGATCTGGATCATATCGGTACCTAATGAATATGATGTGTCGTCGTGAAGAAAGAGTTGGAGAAACAACTGAAAGACTGACCTAAAAATCTTTGGCACAAGCTAACTGATGTATGTATCAAGTTCGCTGCGAGCTTCTTCGAGCAAAGCGGCAAATCCAAGTGCCGCACCCTACAACGAAGCCTAATGATCTAGTGGCAAACCTTGATATCATTACCTTTTTTTGTTCCAAACAGAGTTGTGTCTTGCAAGAATCATGAACTTGTAAACAAGATCAGGCTGATTGAGTTCTGTAGCTAAGGAGCATAGCTCTTTGTGTGTGCTCAACTGCTGTCTAAACCACTAGATAGTATCGTCCAAGTATGGAAAAGCTCTTTCATTCACTTACCCATCAGGACCAGTTATGTTCTGTTCCTTGCCAGAAACAACGGAATTTGAGCGAGTTTAACAGCCGCAAACGGTTTTCCTTCAGATATCTTGTACATAAGATCGTTCACAAGAGCTTTGCGATGCTCAGCCGTTGCCAGTTCGTAGACTAAGCCTACTCCGTTCGAGACAATATCTCGGATAAAATCTGGAAAGAAAAATATGTGATGATACTAAGGTTAAAATGGCGAAGTAACCATCAGTTTCTGATAGTCCCATCCCAAACGCCGACTGAATTTTGTCCAGCATCCCGTGCTGGACAGAATCTAATCAGAACAGAAACTAATCAGGCTCTTACCTTAAGCGTTTTTCAAGGCCTTCAACACATGTCATGTTTTCCTGTGTGCCGCTGATCAACTGCTTCAATTGACGAGTTGTATAAATTGTAGTAAGTTGTAGTTACAAGCATTAGAAGCATTAAAAACGAAGAATTTGAGTATTCATCATCCTACAAATGCAAATGTACACGGTACAGTATCACGATGATAGGTGAG